CTTCGGTGGGTGATTCTACAGATAAAAATAAAACAAAAAGTTCCTATGAACATATACCCTAAAATGCTTCCCGAAGAAATTACAGTTCTCGAAATGTTAATTATAAATAACATATTTTGTTTATTTTTAAGAAGATTGGTGAACCGTTTTTCTTGAAATTTTGTACTCTTACACACATTTTAATCCCAAAGCGAATAGCGATAGTGTAAAATTCCGTTACAGCCTTGAAAGGGTACCTTCCATTAGGGTAGAGGGTTCTACTAGTGTTAGTTCATTTATACACATAGATACAGTAATTTCAACAAATGACGTCACTCCAATAATATTGATCTGTCATTTTTGAAATAAACCAATAAAACTGGTTAAAAACAAGAGAAGGCGCACGACGGATTATCCATAGCTCGATCCATAGTTAACTTAAAAAATATTAGAAACTTAAAAAAAAGCACTAATAATACACACACCGGAAAAATCTAGGGATATAATTTTATTAAAGTTAAAAATAAATGTTTTGAATAAACAACCACATATTTGTGGCCGATTTCTACTTGATTGAAACGAAGTAGTCACATAGTCACACTAGTTATTTTTAAATTTGGGATATTTGCAGAAGTGTCTGTGCATTTTTTGTCAAATGTATAAAAAGCACCTAGCATCAATTGTTCGAATTTAACCTGTACTGGCTATGTTTTTATGATAACTGGCCAGAATTCATTCAAATAACTCTGTTTAGTATTAAACGACATTATGGAGCGTATACATTTTAACAAAGACGAAATGCTAAGAGCCATGGATATGCTCGAAGCTGGAATGCTCCAAATCGACGTAGCTAGAGCATTAAATACAACGCAAAGTTTAATATCGCGATTAAGTGCACGTTACCGTGAAAGTGGTGATATTGTTGAAAGGCACACAGGGCGACATCGCATTACTAACCCTCAACAAGATCATTTTTTACAATTAAATGCTCGACGCCGACCGACTCTTACAGCACCAGAGCTTAGTTTAATTCTCCAGGAAACACATAATGTAACCGTTAGTCCTGACACTGTTCGCGATAGACTAAGAGAGGTTAAATTAAGAAGCAGACGCCCCTGGAGAGCTCAACCCTTAACGAGAGGAAATCGAGAGGTACGATATTTGTGGACTCAAGATCATGTTCAGTGGTCGAATGAACAATGGGCCAATGTTCTCTTCACGGATGAGTGACGCTTTGGAATTCATCTGGATTCGAGAAGGCTTAGGGTATGGAGAGATCCGGGAAATGTTATTCGGTTGGATCATGTTGAAGAAGTGCACCATTATCAAGGTTGAACAGTTATGGTCTTGGGAGGAGTCCAGTTAGGCCGAAAAACCGATCTCGTTTTTCTTGAAAGGTTTCTAACAGGAGTCACATATCGTGATTTAATCTCGAGCCTGTCGTGTTACCATATGCCAATGATTTTGGGAGAAACTTCATTCTCATGCATGACAATGCACGGCCTCATACAGCCAGAGCGGTAAGTGAGTTTATCAATGCTCATCAATTAAACATCTTACCCTGGCCGGCACAATCTCCTGACTTCAACCCCATTGAGCACGTATGGGACGCGGTCCAAAGAACAATTTTGAGAATGGGTATGCCTCGTGAAACTCGTAGGGATCTGGTTCGGGCCGTGAATGCAGCGTGGCATGCTGTACCTCACGAAGATATCGACAACCTGATCAGGAGCATGGAGAGACGATGTAGGGCTGTAATGAACAGTAGAGGAGGCCATACCCTTTATTAAGTAAAAATGGTTTTATCTTTTTTTTTAATTCACAGTTTAGAATAAAAAAAATGTGTGTATTTTTTTGAGTTCAATAAAAATCAAGGTAAATTTGAAAAATTCGGTAAATTTCGCATTTTTATTTCCAATACGTCCTGTAAACTATTTGTTCATTTTAATTTTATTATATCAGAAATGCAAATAATAAAATTACTGACGATGGCTGGATAAAATTGTAATATCCCTAGACTTTTCCGGTGTGTGTACGAACCAAAATACAAAAGCAGTTCGCAAATAGATGTTTGACATAATTTGACACAAATTATAACCTATATATTGTGTCAAGAGTTTAACAGGCCTCAAAAATCTTAAGTCGGGTCATACGCTTTTCGGCTGTCCCAAGGAGAAACAGAAACACAGTATTTGCAATTTTTTTTGTAAATATAATTTTTATATAACATATACCGGATGCGTCTCAAAAGTGGCTCACCCCTATAACTTTTTTATTTTTTCAGATAAAAATACGAGATTTGGTATGTTAGTATATGATAAATCAGGATTGATTGACGTATTCAATCTATTTCAGCCACTTCCTTTTTCACCGGAAATTACTACAACTTTTGATTTTTAAATGGCACCCTCGGTATTTTTTTACTTTATTCGATAGAAAATGATACTCTTATAAAATGACATGTCATATGTCAACTTTTGACATTTTTGCTTAAAACAAAATCGTATTTTAAATTTCAATCTAGGCCATAGCTATGTTAAAAACATTAATTTTTAATCAAGGAGCCTTGGATATTAAGATTTGATCGTCTAATGTTTTTAGTATCATATCATGGCAGCCCAAATCGTTTTTTAAATCATATCTCACGAGGGTGGCTCATTACCATATTTGGAAAAAGCATTTTTTTACGAATAATTTGGTACCACACACTTGGTATTTCGAGTCAAATTGTCGTTATGAATCGCATGTTGCACTTTCAAATAAACCATATTCGAAAATGTCAAAAGTTGATATATGATAATATGTCATTCTATTCAGAGTGTCATTTTCAATCGAATAAAGTAATAAAATACCGAGTGTGCTATTTAAAAATCAAAAGTTGTAGTACCTAATTTCCGGTGAGACAGGAAGTGACCGAAAACAATTGAATACGTCAATCAATCTTAATATATATCATATACTGATATACCAAATCTCGATTTTTTATCTGAAAAAATAAAAAAGTTATAGGGGTATACTTGGTCATTATCTATCTATTGCAATCATAAAAATTTAGATTTACAACAAAATAACGGAGATACAGACTAAAAAAACAGTATTTTATATGTGATCGGTATAACAAAGCAACTTTTACTCACAAAAACATTTTTATCATATACAGGGTGGCCCATCGAAAACGTTCAGCAAGGCATAACGGCCAGGGTAGTTTTTTTTTCAGAAAATTCAAAAACACGTCAATTTTGTTTGTGAGGGGGACAACTTTTGCCCCAAAAATTATTGCAAAATCTTCAACCCTCTAAGCGGGGGTGTCATCCCCCAACTTTTTTCAAATGGGAAGAGGGTCAAGTGGTACCGCAATGAAAAGGGTTTTTTATTCTCTATACTTTCCCGCTTCGTTTTTGAAAATCGGTCGAGTCATTGAGAAAATATGAAGGATTGAAATTTGAAAAGTTTATTTAAACATTTATCAGAGTAAATGATAAGGATAAATTCCTTCAACCAATTTGCTGTTTTTTTTTATTATTTCTAGATGTTTACGTATTTTTTCACTTTCCACAAGGTTGAACGATCAGGTGCGGCAGTTGCTAGATAGCTGTTCTGTGACTTGTGCGTTGAAGTTCTTCTCAATATCGTTAAACTTTTTAACAATAATGGTGTACTCACTTGCAGAAAAAGTGGAAACAATCGAACTTTATTTTAAAAATAACGAATGTAGCAATCGGGTTCCGCAGATATTCAATGAATGTCATCCTGAAAAACACCTTTATGGCAAAATTGTTCGCAAAACTGGTTCCGTTATGAATAAAAAGAGGCAGAGGGAAAACCCTGTCGTAAATGAAGCTATGGAGGTATTCGTATTGGGCCAAGTTGTCATGGATAGTACGCTGAGTACAAGAAAATTAGCCAATGCAAAATTAGCCGGCGTGAATCGTACCAGTGTCCAAAGGATATTAAAAAAACACAAGTTCCACCCGTACAAAATTCAGTTGGTACAAGAACCCAACGAAGACGATTTTGATCGTCGCTTGCAATTTTGTGAAACTGTGAGTGAACGAGTGGCGAATGATAATAATTTCCTATTTAATGTGTGTTTTTCGGATGAGTGTACTTTCTTTTTGAACGGTGTAGTTAATCGGCATAGCTGTCGGTATTGGGCTTAGGGTTTTTTCACGAGGTGCACACACAAAACCCTCAGAAATTGAACGTGTGGGCTGGTATCTTTGGAAATTCTATTTTAGGTCAGTTTAACGATGTTGAGAAGAACTTCAACGCATAAGTCACAGAACAGCTATCTAGCAACTACCGTACCGGATCGTTCAACCTTGTGGCAATTGAAAAAATGCGTAAACATCTAGAAATAATAAGAAAAACCAGCAAATTGGTCGAAGGAATTTATCCTTATCATTTTTTTATAAATATTTAAATAATCTTCTCAAATTTCAATCCTTCATATTTTCTCAATGACTCGACCGATTTTCAAAAACGAGACCGGAAAATATAGAGAATAGAAAGCTCTTTTCATTGAGGTACCACTTGAACCCTCTTCCCATTTAAAAAAAAATTGGGGATGACACCCCCGCTTAGAGGGTTGAAGATTTTACAATCATTTTTGGGGCAAAAGTTGTCCCCCTCACAAACAAAATTGACGTGTTTTTGGATTTTTTGAAAAAAAAAATATCCTGGCCGTTATGCCTTGCGGAACGTTTTCGATGGGCCACCCTGTATTGTGTTTTTCCTTGGGACAGCCGATCTGCGTCCATGCATCGTTCATCGTTGCGTCACTCCAATAATATTGATCTGTCATTTTTGAAATAAACCAATAAAACTGGTTAAAAACAACAAAAGACAGCGCACGACGAATTATCCATAGTTTACTTAAAAAATATTAGAAACTTTTTTAGTGAAATAAATAGATTGGTATGAACGTCATCTGCATTTCTTCTGTCATCGTCTGTCGAAATCTTACCTAAGTAAAAAAACAGAGTATATTTTGTTTTAGAATAATTCTTAAAAACTTATAAATCTTTTATAACACTTATCTATTTATTGAATTATACATATATACATTTTACATGATTTCTTCACGTCAGTCACGTGGAAAAAACAGAAATTGAAAATTTTTCAGATTTTTTAATTTTTTTATAAAAACAGCAGTCTAAAATTTCATATTTGGTACATAGATCATTTCGAAACTATCTTGATTGATGGGGGGTGAATAGAAGGGTCGGTTGGGTCTATACAGCCAACGCTTGGTACATAAATACAGACACTGCAACAGTCATCTGCACCATCTGTTGGTAGTATATCTTTAACTTCCATATCATCCTACAAAAAAGAAAATATAAAATTAAAAAAAGTATATATTAAAAATTTTTATTATTATTAGCAAAAAGTAAGGTATGTGTGTTGTATCGCCCTCATATTTATAATATCATGTAAGTTAAAAAAAATAAACGTTAAAAAGAAGAATAAATAAATGTATCTAAAAACTTTTTAATGAACTTATTAGAAAAGATCAAATTTTTCATATTTAAAAGTTTCTACAAAATACTTTATCTATATACAGGGTTGTTCACCACATACGACACGGAGTATTGTAGCTAAACGATGAGATTTTTACAAATTGTAAGTTTGGGGTTCTTTGAAGGACTATTAGAGCTACAATTTAAAAATATTTTTACAAGATACAAAGTGTCCCAAATAAATAAAAAATATCAAAGTTGTATTTTTTTAAATGGAACACCCTGTATATTATTACATTTTTAGTTTCTACGATTAAAATAAAGGTAAATTTGATTAAGGTTTATTATACTTAAACCTTACCGTTTTTGAAATATTTTCAATTTTGTGAAATTGCAGTAAAAATTTTAAGCTTCATTTCTCCAAGGGTATCAATGTTTTTAATACTAAATATTTAATGAAGTTTATTTATTGATCAGTTATTGTGTTGCAATAATAAAATAATACTACCTTATACAGAGTGTCTAAAATTTATTTTAAATAATTATTAGCTTCAAACGGCAATATCTTCTTTAATTTAAATGGAATGCCCTGTATATTTTAGGAGAATCAGATGCACAATTAAATTGTCTATCAAATTGTATTATACCATTTTTTACCTATCCCTTCAAGTTTTCGTAGAAAATGCATTTTCTTATAATTTAGACCTCATTTATCAATATATCTATGGAATATTGACATTTTAGATTGTTTTTAAAGCAACAAATGTACAAAATGTACAGACTAGTAATATTATCGTTTTTAGCAAAACGATAATATTACTAGCCCATTTGTATGCAAAAAGAAAACTATTTAAATCTTTATAAAAGAGTATGCCATTAATGAAATACCGTATGATCGAATAAAAACGGCGTCCAGTTGGCTGGGAAATGACGATCGATGACATTTCCCATATAAATTTACATATAAAATGACAGCGATCTTCATTTCATAGCCATCGCTGACGCCGTTTTTATTCGATCATACGGTATAACACCATTATTTTCGCCCATATACTAATTAATGACATACTTAATTGTGTTCGTTAATAAATTATTATAAATAAATGTGGATTTTTGAGTCAGAAATCAATATAATAATAAGTTATCAAATTAAAGTCTTTGTTGTTATAAATAAGCATTTATTAAAAAATGAAATATCATTTTTAAGGTGTTACTTTTTATCACACTGTCTAATGCCCATACAAAATTCAGTTTTTTAGTATTTGGAGCAATTATTATTAATCAACGCAAACAGTCAGTTAATGTAGTTTAAATACTGGAATCATAATAATTGATCCTCTTTAAAAAATATTTAAACAGTTTTTTTATTTTTTAATGAAATAAACGAATTATATCGACAATATTAGTATCTGTACTCTTTAAAAATTTGGTATCTTTAAAAATAATCTAAAATGTCAATAGTCCATGGGTATATTGATAATAAGTTCTAAATTACAAGAAAATGCATTTTCTGCGGAAACTTAAAGAGATAGGTAAAAAATGGTATAATATAATCTGATAGACAATTAAATTGTGCATCTGATTCTCGTAAAATATACAGGATGTTCCATTTAAATTAAACAAGTTATTGCCGTTTGAAGCTAATAATTATTTAAAATAAATTTTTAGGCACTCTGTATAAGGTAGTATTATTTTTATTATTGCAACACAATAACTGATCAGTAAATAAACTTCAGTAAATATTTAGTATTAAAAACTTTGATACCCTTGGAGAAATGAAGCCTTAAAATTTTTACTGCAATTTCACAAAATTGAAAATATTTCAAAAACGGTAAGGTTTAAGTATAATAAATCTTAATCAAATTTACCTTTATTTTAATCGTAGAAACTAAAAATGTAATAATATACAGGGTGTTCCATTTAAAAAAATACAACTTTGATATTTTTTACTTATTTGAGACACTCTGTATCTTGTAAAATTATTTTTAAATTGTACCTCTAATAGTGCTTCATCGAACCCAAAACTTTCAATTTGTAAAAATCTCATCGTTTAGCTACAATACTCCGTGTCGTATGTGGTGAACAACCCTGTATAATATAAAAATCCCTATTATTATATACATATGTATATCGAGGGATAATATACAGGGTCCGGCAAAAGTTCGTCAGGCATCTGTAGCTCCTAGAATAAAAAACTTGGGAATTTTGTTTAAGTGCAAACATTCATTCATGATTTTATTTAAAAAAACACCCTGTATATTATAGCAATTTTGGTTTCCATTCAGATTATTTTACATAATCTTAAGATACGAGTAAATATATTTCGATAGTTTCAAAGATATTTAAAATTAAATAAAAAATATATACTTTTCACCCTTTCTTAAAAAAATTATTATTAAAAATACAACAATAGTCCTGAAATCAAAATTATGTTAGGTGTTTACTGTAAATAGTCTGTGCTATTTTGCTATAAATATGGTAAATTTACGATTACATACAGAATGTTCAAAATTTTACGCCAAACTTTCTAAAATATATATTTTTTTAAGTTTTTTTGAATGGAACACCCTGTATATTATTTTTTCAATAGATAGAGAATTAAAATTGAACACTTTTTGTATTTAAAGCATTTCAAAATTGTTAACGGTTTCACATACATTCAAGGTTTTATATTTCATATAGCATTTTCCACCGTAAATTTTTATCAAAGCCACTCAATGATTTTTCTCTCGTATTTACAGTTGAAAGTACCAAATGAAGTAATACTGCGTGTATCTGCGAAACCATCAAAAATTTTGAAATACATTAAATACAAAAAATGTTCATTTTTGAACTCCCCATCTGATAAAAAAAAATAATATACATGTGGTGTTCCATTTAAAAAAGAAAGAAAACTTATTTTATATTTAGAGTATGTTTGGCGTAGAAATTTGAACACCCTGTATTATTTAAGATTACGATATTTATATCAAAGTAAGTATAGACCATCTAAAATAAATACCTAATATAGTTTTGACTTCAGGACAGGGTTCTTGTATTTGTAATTATTTATTTAGGGAAGGTTAAAAAATATATTTTTTATTTATTTATTAATTTCACTGAAATTATCAAAATATATTTACTCATATCTTCGGATTATGAAAAGTAATCTGAAAAGAAGCCAAAAATGCATTAATATATAGAGTGTTCTATTTAAAAAGAATAATCCCGATCCACTCACACTTTTTTGAGCCACTCGTACATACTTTGTACGGTTTGTACTTTAACAAAATTCTCGTTTTTTATTCTAGTAGCAACAGATTCCCGACGCACTTCTGCCGAATCCTGTATATATAATAATAAAATTCTTGTTATTATATATCGAGAGATAATAAATGAAATCGTAATAAATAATATCCTTACAAGTTCAAGAAAACAAATAAGTACCAGAATGGTTGAAGAAATATTCGATAAACATCCTACCACTACTGATTGGCGAATATTGAAGAAGCGTCATTTGCAAATCATTTAAATATTCCAAACATCAAGAATTCTTGAACAGGGAAGAAAGAATTTTTGAAGACCGTCGCGTCGTTTTCAAATGATAAAGAAGGCACTTTTTTCTTGTTCTGGCCTTTTTATTTTAAGTATACTGGTTTTTGGAATATTTTAAAATATTTCTAAAATTATAGATTTCAATATGACAATAAAGTTTAATGGGGCTATTGTATCTGAACTGTATTTGACTGTTAGAAGTATCATATTGTTTAGAAGTTTCCGTAATAATAATTACGTCAAAATTTTTAGCTAAACTGCTAATATAACAATGTATACATTTAAAGTCGTTTTTTAAGTTAATTTTGGGTATCTAGATCTAAAATTATTAAAATCGCTAATTTGTTTCCATGTCAATATCCCTAACTTTTGAAAATCTCTTATACAGGGTGAGTCTTAAATAAGTGCAAATATTTTTAGGGGTAGCATATTTCGATCCCAGAAACACGATTATGGTTTTTTTTACAAACAAAAATTTGAAAATTCGGAATTTTTTTCAAAAATCTCTTTGTATTTTTTTAAATTTTTAGTTAAAAGACATAATTTCTTGATAATATGGCAACATAGGTAGTACATTTAATGTGCAAGAAAGAAATTCCAGAAAAGATCCAGAGGTTCTCAAAATTTAAACAAAAAATATTTTTTTGGAAATTTTCACTTATAATATCACAAGAGCTTAAATTATTTTCGGAAATTTTTTTGAGGGCACGAATATTTTGAAAATTATCCCGAGTCGAAGACGAGGGATAATTTTCCTAAAATATTTGTGCCCGAAAGAAAATTTCCAGGAATAATTTAAGCTTGCGTGGTATTCGGTAAGAAAATTTCACACCTAAATTTGAAAAAAAAATTAATCCAACATGACATTTTAAAATAATTTCAATTTGTTAAGTTGGCCAAGGTATTGATGTTTTTGACATATTATGTGTTTTGTCATTTTGTTTGCGATTCTGTCATTAAGCTATTACTAGTTTTAAAACGTCTGTACGTAGAGTAAGAAGTGTATAGCGAAATGTCGCGATTTGGAAAAGTAAACCAACAAGTCATTAAAGAAGAAATTGAAAATATAAAACCAGATAACACCCGAAAATCAAAATCAAGTGTATATCCATCATATTTCGTTAAATAGAAAAATACCAGCTTTAGTTAAATAAAGGCGGCAGAACTATATTTTTTAGAACATGGCAATTTCGAAGAAATTCATATGTAGGTATATCTAACATATTTCCTTAAATAAAAAATATTACCAACCATAGTTACATCAAATGCTAAAACTCAAATGGGTAATATTTCAATATATAGACATTGTAGTTCATTCACATTATGATTGTAGATCTTATGTTTACCTTTTCAACTGTCAAAAAATTTCCACTAAAGTTTCGTGGCGCCTCGAAAAAATTTCCGGAAATTTTTTAGTTGCCATGGTGACTAGTCAACATTAAAGCATGTTATTGGTTGAAAAGTAGAGGTGTGAAATTTTCAAAATAAAATACTTAACTCGGTTATTTTGGATTTATTTGAAAAACGGCAAAGAGAAAATATGTTTCTTTTATCGAGATCTAGCAGCCCTGAAAATATTTGCACTTATTTAAGACTCGCCCTGTATATGAATCCATTTTTATCACTCAAACACACTTCAAACACTAGATATCTTCAACGAGAATGTCACCTGTTCACGCACATTTATCATTTTGTCTTTTTTTTTCCTAGATGGCCTTCTGGTTTCTATACCGTTTTAGATGATCTAATCATTAGTTTCTTTGACAAAAAACTAACTAGGTATATAAAAGGATGCAAAATTAATAGAGACTGATTTGTTCAAACTTACCTCATTATTTTTAATATATAATTCCCTGTTCAATACATTGGACCAACAACTTTCGATTATTAAACAAACTGTCACTAAAGTAAAAGCAACTTTTTTACAACCCATTATTTCGGCGTTATTCTTTCAAAAATTCCAAATGCAAAAAACTGCATCTAGCTCAAGTCCGTTTCTTGCTGTACAACGTACCAACACTAAAATACTGGCAAATATAATAAAATTACGTATACTTGCGCCTCAATGTTGATCTAGTTAAGCAGAGTGGATTAACAGATTAGCTGACGATCGATTAGCTTACAATGCAAGATTTGTTTTTGGCATCATCGAACACGAGTTAGACAGAGATAGACTGTGGTTTTATTGGTGGGTAAAACCGTATCGTCGATGTATGCGTTACGGAGCGTGTTCATAACGAAAAATTCACAGAAGTGTTTTCAATTTTCCGATTAAGACAAAATGAATCGAAAATTTCTAATCCTCGTAAAATTGCACATGCATTAAACGTCAAATAAACTGGCTGCAACGTCATAATTTTCGGTTTTAACGTAACTTTTTTACCTTTTTTTTTAGCTAAAATCAAATCACTTTTCAATAAATACCATAATCACATTCTACTAAAAATTATCTGTATTAGGGTTAAGTGTATTTGAGTGTGACTTAAACAATTTAAATTGTTTGTTTTTCCTCTGACGAAGTAGGACTATACATAATATACAGTGTGTCCCCGGATTGTCTTTAAGAGGAAAAACGGAAAAAATTTTATTATTGACTTTTTTGAAAAATGCATTCTTCACAAAAATAGCCCAGTCAAATTAGACAAATCGGTGGAAAAAATCCCACAGTTTTGAAAATGGTTTTAAATGTTTCCTCTAGACTTGGGCTGATATGTGTCAAAAGTCCCCGAAGATAGATGAAGAGCTCGAAGAGAGGGGAGGGGTTAAATGTCACTTTTATGAATGTTTAGTTGGAAAATATGACACTTACGAAAAGATACCCTATATAGAAAATTGAAGCTCAGAAAATTATCTACAAAATTAGCTGAATGCATTTTTAATTTCACTCAAAATGAGTTATTTGGGTCATAAATGACCTAAATACAAAATATTTTCTCATGGTGTCTCATGGTCAATTTCTTAAGGATAGCTAGATCAGTAGAACTCAAATTATTAACAATAATCTGTATTGGGGTTTAATTCCAGGAAAAATATTACAAATCGAAAATAATGAATATTATAGCTGCGCAATGGTTCAAATCTGCGGCAATTGGAAGTAAAAATGACCTACTTTGGTACAAACTTAGTGTTATAACAATGAAAATTGATGAATCTAAAAAAGTCAATTCAAGAGATATGTGGTTACCTCAACTAACAAATATTCAAGAATATTCTGATAAATTAGTGTATTTTCCTTATTGTTCCTCACAGTAGTATTAATATGTACCTAATTTTTATTTAATATTTGTATATCAGATAAAAAGCAAAATAAGGTATTAGCCTTGTTTATATATTCTTAAAGTTGGTCAACCTCTCGACAAAATGTGCTGCCTATGGCGAACAAATCGCAAAACTTTAAAAGAATGAAGCATGTGATTAGGGGCGGAGTCAAAAATATCGATTATTTGCGGTATTTCCCTCAGAGTAATGTAATAATATAGCTCGGATTTTTGCGAACTATAATAGGGCTCAGCTGATTAAGAAATTTAAACAAAACTATTATTTCATTGTTGATTTTCGATTATTTTACTGTTATTTTAAGGATTCTAAACCGTATTTAACAAAGAAATAACAATTTTCAATATGTTGGTACATTAATGCTAATTACTGGTAATTATTAATATTTAAAAAAAGTTACATACACTTACTTTATTTCGATTTGACCCAGGGCTATAAAATTTTATTTCATTCTTCGATCATTTTATTCTAAATTGAGGTTTTACGTTTTTAAGATAATTTTTTTTTGAAAACAAAACGTTTATACATTCTTGATTAATTTTTTTCTTAATTAAAAATAAAACTTGGCACTTGTTTCAATAATATTATTTGACATTTAAATAAATATTATGTACTTAATACACCATTTAAATCTTTATTACACGAAATAAATCTTTCTTAGCGTAAAACATGGTCAGAGTCAAGTTTAACTTTGTACCATATGAAAAAAAAACGGCGTCCAGTTGGCAGGGAAATGACGATCGACGACATTTCCGACGGTAGACGACATTTCCGACGGTCGACGACATTTCCCACATAAATTTACATATAAAATGACAGCGATCTTCATTTCATAGCCATCGCTGACGCCGTTTATTTTCGATCAAGAATTATAAAAACTGAAAATATCATTATGTTTTAACTCACAAAGCCCGTTAAACCATAAAACTTTCTAGTATATTGTTTTATTAGGAGTAAAATGACACTTTTCGTGGCGAGACTGCAGTTTTGACATACAGCCGAAGCACAAAAGTCATTTTTACTCCAGAATAGAACATGCTATTTTCAAACGCCACAAATAATGTTTTAAACAATTTCAAACGTTCCAAATAATATAAAAATATTTAAAACTCATACCTTGTAAGTAATTATCATGATACAAAAAAAACAAGGTATGATATTGCGCAGGTTGGTCACCACGTCACAGGTGATAAACGGCAATATTGGTCGGCAAGCTCCACGCGCCAATTTCAAATTTTCAAACAGATGACACATAATAAATGTGTATAATGTGTCATAACTTTTCAAATGTCCAGCTCGATGATTTTACATAACTCTAGGGGTTATTTAATTCTTCCCCATTTTAGGTCTTATTTTATTAGTGGCAATTGAACAATACGGATATTTTGTTGTATGGCATATGACATCACAGGCGATATGCGCAAACTGAACGAAATTGGAGACGCTATCGACCATACCTTGATTTCAAGTTTTCTTTGTACCATGAGTAATTATATATCGAGAAACTATGGTTACGGCTCGTTGAATTTGAGACTTGTGTCATTTTAATAATATATTTTCATACTTTTATGCTTAGGCGTAAAGTGCTTTACTTTTATGACTAGGCGTTAAAATGACTTTTTTATATTGTCAATCACGTCGCAAAAATTAATACTTTTGGGACGTTTGAAAAAAAAATATTTTGAAACTAACTGGTATATTTTTCTTCCACAACAAAGTTATTATACAGTGATAAATGATAAGATCATATTGAAATACGCTACTGGGTAAAAAAAATTGGCTAAATTTGATCAATAATACTCCATTTCAAAAGTCATTTTCCAAAATAATTAATATTTTTTAATAATTGATTGCAATTAATATTATTTGACTAGTTTAATTTGATTAATTAATAAGACTAGATTAATTTCATTTAAAATAAATTTGATCAGATTTTTTTCGTATATTCAACTACCATAAAAGTAGAAGGAAGATTATAATGTATCTATCACAATATTTAAAAGAACTACTACAATAATTATTAGAAGAAAACAAAAGAAAAAATACCCAAATACCTTCACCTTCTACTCAACTACAAAATAAATGAATATAATCTCTTACACTACACAAACTACTTCTTGCATTCTACACTAAACAAATTATCAAACTTATTAATTAATCAAACATAAAGAAAAATTAACCAAATTACCCCTTCACCTACTACTTAACTTCAAAATAAAATATAAAAACACTAAATTTCTTCTGGTAGTCTACACTAAACATTATAATCAAACTTAATAAATTAATCTAATTTTACATTACAACTAGAAAGAAACAAGAAAATGTTTTAAAACTGCAAGAAATAAAACTTCGATACGTGCGACCAGTATAATAGATCAAGCGGACAAAGAATATAAAATACTTTAAAATGTGCATTCAGAAAGAAAAAAATATGTCGAAAATTATCTAAACAAACATTTTTTTTTCTTATCAGTGAAAAACATCGACCTCGTCGGCCTTGCGGAATTTGTCGGGTATTTACAATGGTCGAATTGTATAATTACCAGCTTTAAATAGCATATCTAATAGACAAAAAGTATCTGGTCGATTAGTAACCAATTGGCACAGTCCGAAAATTATCGATTTTTATTTTCTCTGTTTTTATTGGCCGCTTCAAAATTCAGAGTAACAAAAAATATTTTCTCTAGTAAAAGACTGTGAAATACGCCCCGCCATCTGGTGCTTTACATCCATAAACGTCTTAGGTTGAGCTGCTTTAAAAATTCATATACAAGGGTATTAGGTATCGCTTGATTTGTTTTAAGAATAAACGTTCATGTTTTTTTTTGTTAAAAATATAAACAATTAAGTACCAAATGTCTCTTTTTATGTCTTTTTTTTTAAAGAATTTTATTTACATTACAGCAACTAATAGAACCAACAAACCCACTTAGCTTTTATAGACCTAGAAAAAGCCTTCGATTATGTAAATAGAGACAAGTTATGGAAAATAATGATAAAGAAAGGATTTCCCATGTGCACTTAATTTATGTATTAAAGAGCTGTTATCACAGAACTTATATTAAGATGGTAAAAGGGACAATAGAAATTAATAGAGGTACAAGACAAGGATGTCCTCTTTCCCCTACACTTTTTAATATATATGTGGACCAGGTTAGAAGAGAATGGAAAGAAATAGCACCAAGAGATATCCCAATAGACCGACAATATTTTCTGAATATACTACTGTTTGCAGACGACCAAGTGATCAGTCGTTGCAGACGAGGATACCTTACAAAGGCAGGTTTATCTCCTAGACAAGATAATAACAAAATATGATGGAAAAATATCTACCGAAAAAACAAAAGTGATGGCACACTGGGGCAAAGACGGAATCCGCACCAAAATAGTTTTAAGAAATAAACAACTACAGCAAATATCGCACTTCAGTTTCTTGGGATGCCACATAACCTATGATAAAGATAATGATTACATGAAAAAAAAAAATCCGGTCAGAGTGTGGAACTATCGCAAAAACTTTTAAAAACAAAGCACGGCTAGAAACGCAAGTAAGACTATATAATACATTAGCGGTACCGATAGTATTATACGGAAGTGAAGCCTGGACTACCACAAAAGTTAAAGAATAAAGACTCAGCACAACGGAGATGACGTTCTTACGAAAAATAAAAGGAATAAGTAGAGAAGATAGAATAAGAAATGACACAATAAGTAATGAACTAAAAAAAACAACCATTAGAAGAAAAAGTGAGAGTATATAAAAACAAATGGAAGGAACATGTAGAAAGAATGTCAGATGATAAAATTCCACAAAAAATGCTACGATATCAACCTCCAGGAAGGAGAAGT